AAATTTTTTTAAAACCCACCCGGTTATTAAAACATATAAAAATTTTTTTTTAGAAGTTTTCAAATTTTGACCCGGCCAGGTTATGAAAACTAATTAATTAATTTTGCATGGCCTAATCGTCATCAATTGTGATACTTTTGAGCATCATTATAATTATTATCTGATTAATTGAGTTAGATGCTCAAGAGCAGCCTTAATCAGTTAACTTAAAGCCAGCAATTATGAAATAACTTGCGTACTTAAATAATGGTTTTGAATATATTAGAAGAATAACTTTAAGTAATTTATTAGTCTATTAAAAGAAATTCACTCGATCACATTTTTCATAATTTGTAGTATTAAGTTGAAATTCTTTAATCTTATTTCCACTAGAATACATCTTTCATTATTTAATTCTAAAAAATACATTCTGATAAGTTTTCTATCTTTATATAATCTGTTAGTTTACTTCATAGAATTGTCGTAATAAAAGTTATTAAATATTTAAAAAGCATTTGACACATAGTAGATAACCGAAAAACAATAGCTTAGATAACAAACTCTAGTTAAGATAAGTATAGTAAATTGCTACTTTATCAAATAAATATCAAAATTTACTTCCGTTACAAAATACATATAACACAAAAATAATTTGTAATGAATTATAGGTATCAAGCAAAGTAATTTATAAATAAATATATATATATTGAAAGTTCTAATGTACTTAATAAAAAAATAAATGAATATATAATATAATATAGTGTAAAAAATTCTTATTGTAATTCTGAAAGATATGGTGGGGTCAGAAGATTTTGACTAAATAAACTACAAAGATTCCTCTTTGCATCATTATTAATTGACGGATAATCAGTCATTACATTAACTACAATTTGATTAGAAACTATTGCATTTTCTTCAATTTTTAACTCATCCGGATCTGGTTGGTCCTATTCTTCTTCGCTTTGTGCATGTTTATTATCATTAATCATATCAATCCATTTTAATACCATTTTATTCCATTCTTTTTCATTCATAGGATTATTATTCCTTTCTAATTCTGAGATCTGAATTTCTTCTTCATCTTCAAAATCACTTACAATAATTATATAATCTTGATTAGTTTGTGTTGATGTTTCAGGATTATTAGACTCTAGTAGTGGCAGAAAATTTTCTTGATATTTTTTAATTGAGTTTTCGATAGCCTTTAAATTGTTACGATAATTCATTGCAGCACGCAATTGACTCATTTGTAATACTTTCTTGGGCTTTAAATAAAATTAGTAATTTTAAAGTTTATATAAAATAATTATTTAATTTTAATTAAATATGTAATAGTTATTTCATATTTTATCATCAAGCAGCAAAGATTTTGTTGATGACATTATGTATAATTGCAGCTATACTGCAATCATACATAATATTATCGTAATACCAATAATATAAAATAATAATAAAATATACCTTTAAACGGTTGCGATATTTATTATGATACCAACCCATACATGAAAAGAGCCTTTCAATGCATGCAGGATTTACACAAATTGAAAAAATTTGACATGCAACTTTGCTTAGTTCTTTTGCAGAGTTAGAGTAAAATTCCCAATATTCTAAAATATCGGTTGCAAATTGATTTGCAGCACGTGAAGTAAATGGCTTTTATTGTTTACAAAATTTTTCAAGCTCAGGAAGTAATGTTCTTGGTTCTTTTTGAAACCATGCATAGTAATACTAGCAAATCTAATCACTAAGCTGTGTATATAATCCTTCATTATTATTTTCAAACATTTCCATACGGTATTCTGGATGGAGAAGAAAAGCAAGCAAAAGTAATAGTTGCTCCCAAGATTTCCAACGTGCTTCTAAACGGTTAATTATTTTAGTTGCAAATTCTTGATCAGAATATGTCTTATAAAATTTAATAAAATATGCAAATCCATGAAGAACCTCATGCAAGCGAGCCTTGTCTTGTTGCAATTTATTTAAAATTGCACAATATGGTAACAAAATATCTGCAAGATTATTAATTGTAATCCACCATTGTTCATTATTAATAATATTACAGATTTTTGTAGGTAATAATGATGTATTTTGTACATCACTAGTCGATGAAAATTCGAATTTAGCTACGAGAGTCTAAAATCACAATTTATTAGTATTATATTTTATATTTTAAAATATATTTAATTAATATTAATGAAATTACTTTCAAAGCTGCTTTAGTTTTTAATAAGCTTGAAAAGCAATAAAAATAACTATTCTAGCAAGTTTCAATAGGACTAGTAAGTGCAATATACTTTTTATATATTGAATACTGGTCATTACGAAGTTGGTTTATAAAATATGAATGGTTTGCATTATTAAAATAAGACACGATAGTAATAGCCAATTTTGAAGCATTATTAAATTCGTAAGATTCTTTAAAAATTTCACCAATACATAAATTAAGTTGATGAGCAAAACAAGGTAAAAAAATCTTATTTGTATATTTTAATCGTAATTGTCGTCTATTAAATAAAATAATATTAATATTAATAAATTAAATATTTTAATTTAAAATTTTATAACTTACTTTGCTGCAGCATACGTAGAAGCACTATCAGTTACAAGACAAATAATTTGAATATTTTCTGCTTCAAATATATTAAAAAAAGTTTCTATCATATTCATTACATTTTCTCACTTTTTTTGTTCACCGCTAATATCTTTAGCTTCCCAAATTAGTAATTCACCTTTTGCTGTAACAAAAATAGATCCTAAAATCTCTTGTTTAGCAACATTTTTCCATTCATCAAGCACTAGTATTACACCATGTGAATCTTGTTGTGCTTTATTTTTTAAAACATCTTGCATTTTTTCAGCTGCATCTTTCAAAATTTGACCAGCAAGTTGTTTACGATTAGGCAAAACAAGACTTGGATTAAGCCACTAATAATGCACAATAATGAATTTGCTATCTACCCATCTAAAAGACTACCCATTTTCAATAGTCATATTAAGAATACTTTTTTCAAATTGGGTTTGTTCTTTACAAGTAAGTGTACGAGCTATATAATGTATTATTTTATTTGGATTAGAAATTTGTAATATATTAGTACTTTGACTCGTAGTAGATTCTGTTGATCTTGTAGTTTGTTCTGAGTAAATAGATACTGAATCATAATTATTATTATCGTCAGAATCAAATTCAAAAGCTTTAATATAAAATTAGTAAAATTTTATTATTATTATAATTATATATAATATATATAATTTAGTAATATATATTATAAAGTTTACCATTATCAAAATCTATACGAGACCTTTCATAATTTTGTAACTCAGTACTTTTTCTTTTTTTTATTTTTCTTGCTTCTTTTTGAATCGCATATTCTTGTTCAGCTTCGTGAAAATTTTTTTCAGCTTCAACTAGCCCAAATTCATTGAAGAAATTAATACATTTTCGAAGATGATTTCGTACTAATTCTTATCTATTAACAACTTTTACTTCTTCATTAACTTTATTACAATAATAACATAAACACCATTTATCACTAGGTTTTTCTGGATTTACATATTCATTCGTAGGAATTATATGCGTGATAAGATTATGTCTTGGCTTTCCGCCTGTATATTTTTTTTTACTTGACATTTTTAAGAAATTTATCAAACGATATAATAAATAAATTTATATTTAAATACAATTTCTTTGTTCAAAATTCTAACATAAAACTGCTTATACTAAAACACATTTTTCTTATCGTGTTTAATTTAGATATTAAAAAATTCATTTAGTCTGATTCAGATCCAGTCTTTAAAAAATTTGTTCTAAATTAGTTAAAAACTGGTTCACGACTCCTGCTTAAAACTAGTTTGGCTTGTAGTTAATATATAATACAAATAATTTATTATGCTTTTTTAAGCATTATGATAAGCAAAAATACTAAAAATATTATTTTGTGCCAATTTTATCTAATCTAGTTTTGGAACTGGTTTTGAGCTTTCTAAAAAGATTAGTTCAAAACCCAATTTGAACCAGTTCCTTGTCTTAATATCTCTAATTTAATTGTTATACTCGTATCAATATTTCTTATAAGAATATTGTACAAGAATGTTTTTAGAATGAGTATCGCAGAATCCTGATGATTAAAATTAATTCAGTAATTTTCTTATCAATTATTATAATTATGCATTTCTTGAACAATCTCTAAAACCCAATTTAAACCAGTTCCTTGTCTTAACATCTCTAATTTAATTGTTATACTCATATCAATATTTCTCATAAGAAGAATATTTTTAGAGTGAACTTCACAGAATCCTGATGATTAAAATTAATTCAGTAATTTTCTTATCAATTCTTATAATTACGTATCTCTTGAACAATCAAGTGATTAATTAAAGAACAATAGTAATAGTAAATAATGCTTTTTTTTGTGACAAATATAATTATAACAATAATTTAGAATAAATTATCATGATTATACGTATCTGTAGTGTCTAGTAATAGGACTATGTAGCGTTTAAAGCTCCAATCCGGATAAATTTATCATCTGTCTATCCATATCTGATATCTGAATAATCTGACGGATATCATAGTAAATATCCAAATAAATTCAGATCCGGATATCTAATAATTATCTTAATAAACACTAATCGGATTAGAACTCTACTAGTAATGCTAAAAATAAGTGATTCTTAATTGCCATATTTAATAATTTATTAAGAATCAAATTCTTTTTAATAGATCATAGCACATAGCAACCAGAATTTTAGTATCTATAGTTTCATCCTAGTAGTATCTGGCAAGTTTAAAGGTAAATTAAGTGGTATTTAGAATTATACTATTCAATATTCTAAATTTTCAGATTTTACTAGTGTTCAGAAACCCAAATAGTGCAGTAAATTAAATTTTAAAGAAAGGTATCTTAAATTAAATCTTTATAGCTTGACTTAACAAAAT